ATATGTGTTACTACACTGCGATGTTCACAGGGAACTTTGTGATTTGATAAGTACATAAAATCCGATATATCTGAATATGATATATATTTAAAAAAAAAACAGTTCATTTCTGGAACTCAACAAGTTGTCCATCATTTTTACATAATTAGGGTACGCTGAATCCATTTCATTAATTGTCATTAAGTTTCAATTACTTTTTGATAATCAAACATGATTTACACATTGACAACTATGGCGGCCATCTTTGATTTCAAAATGGACACCTTTTTTAACAAATATAAGTAAAGTGCTTTAAAATAAATTGATTCTTCTGGAGGAATAATTATCGAAAATATATAATAATGATATAAGCAACATATCATGTAGAATTATACATACTGCACACTTTACTTGTTAATTACATCATTACTTCAAAATATTAAAGGGTCATTCTTTATGGACAATTAATCCACGTAAGGTATCTGAGATCCCAAATGTATAACATAAAAACCTGCACTCTTTAATTTATCATAAGACGCTCAAGTTTTAATTTTTTAAAAATAAATTTGGAACACTCAATCATTTTGTAATTTGATTGTCAAGAGTAAAGGTCAGTATGTAAATATTTTAAAAATTGCCTTCGTCTTCAAAGGCAAGCGATTATGTCTATTCGGATCATTGCAACAACATCTGCTTAACGATCCGGTAAAAATAAAAGGAAAAAAAAGACAGAATCTCTAAAAAACGCGCAAAACGGCGAAATTGAAAACGTTGCAGACTCGGTTTTATTAAGCCTATTCATGGACGGTACTGAAAATTGCAAGCTACCGTCTAAGCCCCCTAGCACCGGCCTAAGCAGAATTCATAATTTAAACGTGGAAATTGTGAAATTTAGAACCATCGTTGGTGTTTTTGTACAATATGTTTTTATTGTTGTATTGATGTAGCTACTTTAAAGCGTCAGCTTGATTTTATGAAATAAATTTCATTGTCTTAGTTATTATCAGCACGTACATTATATACCACTTAACCAAAGACGCTTAACCTTCACATGTTCTAAAATCCTTCAAAAGACTAAGATATATTCAAATTTTAATACTTATTTTGTTCATATATTTCAACTATCTCTACATAAAATTACTTTGGTATTTCTAAGTGTAATTTTAGTGACTAAACAGTTAACCAACTATTTTTTGCATTATCCTAACAATTATGTAATGCAAAGATAAACAAGGGCGTGTCACTTGAAATGTCCCCGAAGCTCGGCCCGGTAAAGGATCCATGACAATTGATTTACATTGAAGGCATGGTGACTGTAAACGTTTTACAAGTCTTACAAAAAGAATTATTTATATTTACAGTATTTCTTATTATTTATAAAAAGCATCTAAGAAATGACTAACAAAGATATAGACACAACCATCAATTTTCTAAATTGACCTATATAGCTGTTTACCTAGTGCTTAAGCATTACAAGTAGTCCTAATGTACCACAAATGTATACCTAGTTATGCCAATATCCATCCGATGAATGACAGAAGTCATGAACTGTCATGACATTCAAAAAATTCATATGAAATTAAATATGACCTGTAATGTCTGACTGATGCAACATTTCTTTTCTCACTCAAGACGCATTGTTTTAAGGTACAGTACCACGTATTTTTTTCTTAGCTCTTGCTGAATGTGTACTGGACATGACAACCAATTCACTTTCATATCATGACTTTAAGCATTCAAGCGTGACCTAGGAACTGTTGTTCCCTACCTGTCGTCTTACAAAGAGGCACAATTATGCCAAATATTCTTTCATTCATCCATGAATGTCAGAACCGTTGACCAGGCTTTTTAGGCACTTTTAGAGAATATTTTGTATGAAATGAAAGCATGACTTTGGTCTTTTTTCTACATGATCAGCTTGGCGTTACTTTAGACTCATTGTCTCAATGTGCCATACATTTATGCAAAATTGTTTCAAAAGGCATCAATTAATTCAAATGTTATAAACCGGTCACAACCATCTTTCATGTTTATATCATGATAAATGTTATAGAAGTTTAACTTGACCACAACCATGCTGGGCCTGCTCTTGCGTATGACACAACCTTTTTAAATTACACATTTATGCGAAGTTATTGTCGTTCCAGGACGGCGACATATACAATTAATAAGATTTAACAATTTTTACCTGTACACCGCCTGCTTAAGGTCAATCAAAACAGAGAATTTAATACCACATGATAACAAAATGGACAAAAGTCCTCATACAGAAGCGTCTACGGGGCACGTTATCCGCCATGATTTTGTCGGGATTGTATAAAGGCTTGAAATACTATATTCATGCACAAAACTCGACACCAATTTTTAGGCTACTATGCGATAAACACTATATTGCTCTTAAAAGAAGGAAAATTAACTCTATTGTTTAGGAAAGATACTTTTTCATGACAAAAAAATCCCGAATACCAGCCTTGATCGCGATTCCTAGTAATTTTGGAACTACTAAGACTTGTTTTTTTAATATCAATTCGTGGATGACAAATTGTTGACCAGATTCCCTACTTATGAACTTTACAAAATTATCTTTCAAGATAGACATGACCCTGATCTTTAGTTTAAACATATTAATTTCAATATTTTACATATATTACATTTTATACGTGTATAATTGTTACATAAATTGAAAGGGATTAGAACGAAAGAAAACTTATATAGTTCCTCTCACTAGACCCTGATCTTTGGGTCGTTCAATTGGCTCTAAGGCACTACACGCTTAGTACATGTTATTGCGCAATTGACATTGACATGAAAATATCATTTCTCTTTTTTCATGGTATCCCTGTTTGAAGATTAAGTAATAAACTAAAGTACATCATTTCCTTATCCGTTAGTAAGCCTTTTATTTATGCTTAATTACATTGGTATTCAAATCCACCTTTTAATGACAGAATCCTAAATTGTACAAAGTGTTTCAAGCATTTGCAAGTGTTAAGGTTTAAGCCATGGTCTTTCTTATGAATTGGCTAAATGTGCCACACATTCATGCAATTTATTTCATAATTAATCCGAAAGGACAGATATGGATGGGATTAAAACGGACAGGCAGAGACAAGTTCTTACTGAAAGTTTTGTGCGGATGTCTGTGATCTTCTTTATTGTTGCTTTTTTGCCTCGAATTACAAATGATTCGTCCTAGAGGTCGGGCGTATACGGAATTAATCTCAACACAACTTGTTATTAACTGACACGCTCGGATGAATAGACAGACGGACGGACATTTGAGCAGCCCCCTACCTTTCAGGGAGATAAAAAACCAATTGAAAATCATCGCAAAAGTTTTAAGAATATAAATAACATCTAAAAACGTCTAAAAATATGATTCTCATTTATTTAAGTATCATTTGTGACCTTTTTGCACCATAAAGTTCGTAGTTTTAATAATTTTTTTTTTCTAAGTTTGCACTTGTAAGTCTTAATAAGTATGACTGCACTTATAATAAAAGAAAACAAGCCTTGTAAAAAGCCGTCTTTCGCTTGTTTAATACAGTGTTTAGAAACATAGGAAATTGTCAGCCATTTTTAAGTCCAAGATGGCTGCCACAATAAATCTTATTTTCTTTTGCATCTACTTGTATTCTTCTTGTTCAGACTTTTGCGGACTAAGATTAACAAAGCTTTAAATTAAAATGCCAAAATATGTGTTAATATCTCGCCCATTGGAGAATTAAAGTGAAAATAAAAAAAAATCAATGGCGGCCATTTTACAATTGATTTTATAAGGTCAAGGACTAAAATTACAGCCGTTGTAGAAAATAAATGAATTCAGCGTATTCGAAATAGGCAAGTAAGCCCAACTACCTGCTTGTACTAAAAAATGCGGTTAGGATGAACATTTTCCCATAATCAAACCAGTCATATATATCCTTTTCAGCATAAACATTTGGACTTAGATTTACAACTTTTCGTTTTAATTATACATGTTTATATCTTGTACTATTTTCCCTTCTTTTTACGGTTTCCTTAATCAAAGTTCAGTTATTTTTAAAGTCAGTTAGTATTTTTGTCTTTCAATAAGTTAGACATGTTTTATTTCAAAAGTTAAATTAGTATATAAAATACTGAAAAAGACAAAAACACACATATGATATAGTTGTACACAAACGAACTTGATATTGTTCGGTTTATTTAAATTTCTGCTGGATATGTTACTGCTTCCGGTGTTTTTACTCTTGTTTTCCTTTTTGGTGGCATTTGATTCATTCTCCACATAAAAAAGCCGAAAAGTCACCTTTTACATGAACGCTATCGATAGCTTTTGAATAAGTGTTTTTTTGTATCCTGTTTTACTTGTTTGTTTTACTATATTGCGATGTACACAGGGAATTTTGTAATTCAATAAGTATTTGTGACAACATAGAATCCGATATATGTGAATATGATGTATGCTTGTTAAAAACCCAACTCATTTCTGGAACTCAATAAGTCTCGTATATTGTAAAATTTGATTTGAAATTAAAATCATAATCTTATAATGAAAATATGTTTAAACTAGAGAACTTCGAACCAATATCGCCTTCCTATTTTGTAAATAATTGATGCTTGACTTGATACAATAAATTTGATATGTTTTAGATGAGCCTGTAATACCACGAGGGAACAGTGATAATGATCCGAATAGTTGTATGAGAATCATATAAGCTTTCAAAAAATTTAAGAAGAATAACAATTCACTGTCATATTGCATAATTATGTATTTATTTATGCCTTTTTAAGGCATTGTAATACTTAAGTTTATAATGAGTATTGAGTAATACTTCTAAAAAAACAACATAAAATCGATATCATTATAAAATGTGGGTTATTAGGTAAAATGAAAAAAGCAAACATATAATATGTATTTCTCGTTAATTTATTTAATCACCCCGTCAATATCACCTTTTCCTGTTTAAGCATGGCATAACTTGGAGATTACGTTGTTAAATTGTCAGCCTTCATTTATTATTTTTCTATATTTTTGTTCTTTAAATGTATTTATTACAGATAACACAGATGAAAAACATTTTCGAAGTTGGTTGAAGTTTCATCTTTACAGCGCAATTAAGTTACAGGGCAACTCGTGCTCGATCCATATTGTTTCTTTCATTTTATTTCTTATGCAGGTTATCAAGATAATATTGATTACTTCACAGGTAATAACCAGTAAAATCGATTTTTTTATTCATAACCCTAAGTACTATGGAAATGGCCTAAAGTTGCAATTGATGTCCCGTCAATTCCATTTTTTCCATTTTGATGTTCTCTATAGTTTCTGCATAAGCGGATTCACATGTAATGTAAGTTATGATCCCACTTTTTAGGATTTGTTAAGACATTATCCTACGTTTTGTTGTGAAAATCACGAAGTGTTTTTGCTCGTAGTCCCTCTGGATAACTAGTTAAATGCCAAACCCCCGTCTGAAAAATGCATCCTCCTTATCGAAACTTGCGACGGCTTGATCTTCTTCTTTTCTATAATACGTGAGGAACTCATTTAATGATTTACATCGGTTTTCGACACGATGGTACTGATATAACGTAACTACATAAAAATCTTTGATATTGTGCAATAAACATGTCCTCAAAACAAAACATTTTCTGGTTTTTCTCATTTAATATTTATGTGTGTCGGATATGTTCTTATCATCTTGATGTTATTCTCTTGCAGTTGTTTAGTTTTGGTAAGGATCATGGAAACTTTAGTGACGTGGTCAACCGTGGTCATTTAACGTTGAGGCATTTGCTTCTTAAAGACTGGGATGCCTGTAAGTATGATATTATTATAATTCGATCTTTATTTCTAATGGAAAAACTTCATTGTATGCAAAACAATTCTACAAGAAAAGTATACGATGCTTCTATTGTGCGATGGACTTGTACAGTTGGATTTTAAGTACATATGATTGAGTAATTTGCAGTATTAAAATATATTAAATGCCCATAGTGCTTTGGTAGATTTGATGGTTGAAAAACACTGTATTTCAAAAAAGACTTGTAATGATTTTCTCTTTTTTGAAGTTCAAAAAAATGTTCGTTAAAATCAGTATCTTTCCTTTTTTCAATAACTGATAACTATTATAACGCCACAGAGACCTCTGTTTATGGAAATGTATGATATATTGTGCTTGCCAAAGAAATGTTTCTTGCATGTAGACCATCGTAGCATAGGTTTTAGTCCGCATTCTCAATACAAAAAAGGTCTACGTAGTTTTGTATAAATACATCATTTATATGCATTGAGAAGGCGGATCGGAGCCTATGCTAGGTGGGCCAACTGAGACTTTAAATATACTTTTTAGTGCAAAGTGAATATTTTTCTTTTTTCACAAAACCTTTAAGCATGGGAAACATTGGCGTATCCACCACATAAAGGTGACTTTGCTGTTTACACTATAGACGATTTAGAAAACGGCATCAACTTTGCAGTTAAAGGGGTAATAACGTAGTACATTTCGACATATTAAGCCACTTACCTAATCGTTTTTGTTTTGCATGTTTTTTATCTTTAAGGAAAAAGAATATCAAGTGATTTGATTATTTTGCAAAGGTAGCTTTCTATTTCATGTATTTAGCTCATATGTTTCCTCATTTAAGAAAATCAAGACCAATTCTTATGTATTTATGATTAAAAATAAAAATACAGAATTTGTAGCTTTGATCACTAACATTTTTAGACATAAATGTGTGTATGATTAATTCATTTTACAGTATTACAACACAAAGAGGGAAGCGATAGGCTTCTTCCAGCGCACAACTGATGACACAATGGTTATACAAGTGAAATACTTTGATTTCCCTGGTTTCAATGACACCAATGTGACACAAGGTCTTATAATTCAAGGTAAAATAGACATTTATTTCTTTTGTTCTTTATGTTTTACTATATTTGTAATTTCACGAGTGCAAGCTTAAATTAATCGAATATTTTATATCAACCACATTCGGGTACTGCATGTTATGATATGAAAAAGCATGGGTTGAGAGAGACCGCGCTAGAGATCTTAACCATTATGTCACTTAAATAAACACACATTTCTATACCAAAAACTTAAATTACTTTTCAAGATTCGAATCGAAATAGTCTACAAATTTTGCCTATATGTCAAAACACAATCACAATCAAAACAAGAAAATATCCACACATTTCAGAAATAATAACATCTACCACAATAAGTAAACATGTGTAAGTTGTATATCCAGTAACGCAGAAATGTGGAAATAACGCACGATTCGTGCAAAAAGTAACGCAGAATTGTGCAATAAATGGCGGATACTTGGCAAGATTACCAACCGGCCAATATATTCTATATTTAACAAAACTGATAAAAATGAATTGCCGCATACGGCTGGGAAGACATACTTAATCCCTCATCAATATTATTTCCACACAATTGCTTAGTTTTCAAGATCATTCGTGAAAATGATGGTTTGACCACCGTTTTGAGTGTGATTTTGGCTTTTTGCCGACACTTATTAGTACAACAGTGCATATAATACCGTAAAATTTCTATTTTTTGGTAGGCATATGACATTTACTTAACTTCCGGTGTCATAAAAAATTGAAAATAAGCTTATAAAATGTGATTCAATCCGTTTTTATGAGGTAACGCCAATGTACACGAATAGTGCTTCGCTTTAACGCCGGAAAATGTGATTTTTCTTATAAGGTACTGAATTATTACACACGTTTAACGCCTTTTATTGGCGAATATAATCAAGTTTTTGCGACCTAGACAATGTATTTCCTTCGTAAATATTAAGAAACGTATGCTAATTAGATCTTGACAAACTTTCAACATTTTGATTGCATATTGTAACTTAATACAATTTGATAATTGTTTCCTGAAAAAAATTATTTGCAAATATATGTTGCCCACTTCTCTTCTTGTTATGAAATTCCTTTATAAAAAATATAAAGATAAGAAAAAACAATCAAGGGAGAGACGTGTCTGCATATTTTATGCCTGAAATAATGCACAATTAAAGCTTGATAGTCTCCATATGACCTTTTACTGTGTTGGCGTGATGTGAAACCTTATCAAAACAAATATTTGGCTGTAGCAATTTGCCTGTTGAACTTCTGTGAAGATAGATTATTTATTCTCTTATATAAGAATGTGAATTTTTTTCCAAATATATTTTACTTAGAAACTTTAATGCTCAAAACTTGTACATATTTTAAATAAAGCATAACTTTATTGTCCTCTGCTGAAGTTGAGTAAATTATAACCCTCCACTCTATGGATTTCTTATTTCATGTTAACTTGAAAGGTAAAAAATATAAAATCTAAGAGCTCATTAACAAAATTTGTTGTGCTTCACTTAAGACAGGACTAATGACCCTAAAAAGGCCACCAGTACAGAGCCAGGTCACATTCATACAAAATGATGGTCACTGGTAGCTCATTTGTTCAAATACACTAAAAATCTAATAGCAATCCCTCAGACTTTGAATGAACTGTCCCAAATTCACAGATTAGAAAAATGATTACATAATTTTAGTAGATAAACGGTGACATCACCCAAAGACAAGATGAATATATTTTGGTTACTTTTAGCATCACTTCTCAATGAACATGTATATGGAGAGCTACTAGAAACATAGGCACTTGATGGCAAAAAAGTTCTTTTTATCGACTACCCTTTGTGACCGACTACCCGCCGTGATTTATATATATTTTCAGCTTTAACACACGCACTAATTAATTCATTAAAAATCTACCCACAAAACGTCTTTTTTAAAATATATATATCAACTGTGTATATAGATTACTACAAGGTAAGTCACTCGCCATGTTTTCAAGCAGCGGATCTAACGTCAGAATATATTAACTTAACTGTTTCCTCACACCCTTATTGAAATGCGCGAACTATCCATTATCAATATTTTCTAATATTAAATTTGAGCATAGAATATCTTTAAACAATAATTTGAAGAAATGCCATGACCTGGGGCATTTAAGCTTTAGCTTAAACGGGGCCAAACAAATTAATATAAGCAAACTTGATAAAAGAGTACCTAAGAATGCTACAAACAAAATTTTGTGATCATCCATCCATTAGTTCTGTAGAAGGAGATGTTTAAAGGTATTTCTAATTTTTTTAGCTTTAGCGGGCCGCGGCACCTTAAAGGTGCCAATCAAATTAATGTGAACAAACTTGATAAAAGACTACCTAAAAATGCTACAGACAAAGTTTAGTGATCAACCATCCACTAGTTTTGTAGAAGAAGAAGTTTAAAGGTTTTCTATATCTAGCCTTAGATACCCCTAAAAGGGGCCAACCAAATTAATATGAGCAAACTTGATAAAAGACTACCCAAGAATGCTACAGGCAAAGTTTGGTGATCATCCATCCATTAGTTATGTAGTAGAAGATGTTTAAAGGTTTTTCTATTTTTAGCTCTGTTGACCCCTAAAAGGGGCCAATTAAAATGACATGAGCAAATTGAAGTGTGACTGTCATAAAAATGCCACAGACCAAATTTGAAGTAAATCTGTCCAGCAGTTTCAGAGAAGCAGACGATTGTTGGCGCATGACGACGGAGCATCCCCCTTTGATACTAATAGCTCACCCTGAACCTTCGGTTCTTGTGAGCTAAAAAGACGTTTTGTGGGTAGATTTTTAATGAATTGATAAGTGTGTGTGCGTGTGTTATAGATAAAAATATATAAATCACGGCGGGTAGTCGGTCACAAAGGGTAGTCGATAAAAAAACCTTTTTGCCATCAAGTGCCTATGACTTGAAATGAGTTTGTGGAAGATTTTATTTATCCATGCCATGAATGTTTAAAAGTGGACTAATTAATAAAGAGTGAGAACAATGAAAATTCCTATAATTTAACAAAAACACTTTCATAACTACTGTCTCAACAGATATTGTGAAATTGCTATTTATGATAAACAGTTCAAACCCCGTTGTTTCCTTGCTTCGTACTCACTTCAACTTCAGGGCGGGTTCGTTGTCTATTTTTTCTGGCAATCAGACTAAAATAAGTTTTGTATGAAATAAATTAAAATTTCCCCACAAATTTGTATTTGAAAAGTATTCAAACTCGCCGATTAAAGGCGTTAAATGTGTAATAATTCATATATGAAAAAATAACATTTTCCGGCGTTACCACGAAGCACTGTTCACGTTCATCGGCGTAACCTCTTTACAACGGTCTGAATCGCATTTTATCACCTTATTTTCAATTTTCCTTGTCACCAGAAGTTTAGTAAATGTTATTTGCCTACCAAACATCGAAAGTATACGGTATTATATGCATTGTTGGACAAAAAGCCAAAATCACACCCAAAACGGTGGTCAAACCATCATTTTCACGAATGATCTTAAAAACTAAGCAATTTCGATGAGGGATAAAGTATAATGTATTTGCAGTCGTATGCGGGTATTCCTTTTTTTTAGTTTAGTTAAATAAAAAATGTATTGACCAGTTTACTTATCGCGTTCGAAATCCTGCCAGGTATCAGTCATTAATTGCACATTTCTACGTAACTTTTTGCACGAATCGTGCGTTATCATGCACCTCGGAAATTATTTCAGAAAACATGATAGCCATGGGTTTCTCTTTTTGACGCTTACCTGACCGTTTCTTTTAGTAGACTTCTTAAATTCACCGACATCTTAAATATTTCATAAACATCTTGTATCCGTCTTTTGGAAGGGATTAAGATTCATGGGTTTTAGAAGAACATCAAATGATAAAAGTTTAAAGTTAAAAAGTTTATTCAATTTACTTAGCTTGGTACAAGTGCACTTTTGTTAAGCATATTTTTTTGCTGTTATTTAATAACACAATAATACTAGGTGTTATAAGTCAAAGTGAAATAGACATTTCCTTTATTTCTTTTGTTCTTTTAGTTTTAATACATTTTTTATTCCTCGAGTGCAAGCTAAAATTATTCGACTAATTTATATCAACCACATTCGGCATGTTATGATATGAGAAAGCATGGGTTGTTATAGCTTGTTGTTATTTTACAGTGACATGACTGTGACATGATATAATCGTCTAATTACCGACATCAAGGGGTAGATAGTCATGAAAAATAACTATGGAATATAGAAAATATCAAATTTTCATTATAATTTCGCAATGTTTTAGTTGTGTCAAAACAAAGTTAGAGAGCATCCGTAGATGGCACCGATATTCTAGTTTACATTACTTCTTTATCGTAAGCTGCTTTATTCACATTTACTTTCTGTGAAGTGTTTAGAGGAACTGAATGAAAGTATAAATTCCATTTGTCAACTTAAAATTTCAAATTGAAAACTTAAATGATCATTGGCAATTCAAAATTTAGGACAATTATAATTGTATGATACATGTACAGTATGCAAATGAGTAAGTTTACTGAAACTTTCTTAACAGAAATGGCGAAAACAAGAAAACCTTGAATATTTATCACGACTGACTATTTTTTAAAGATACTTCTTGTTTCATATTCCGTTAATAACGCCAAAAAGCATTTAATATTACAGACAAAACATTTTCTGCCGATGTTGGCCTGTCGCTACAAAACCAGACGTACAATTATAATATCATTAAAGAATTAACAGGCAATGGTTTGAAACAACCGATCAAACGGTAATTGTTCACTTTATATGTAATTAGCAAATATTTAATGATTTTATAAATTCCCTGTTTGCTGCTGATTATTCGGTAATCATTACAGGGTTTTGCTTCAAAACCAACTACTTCTACAACAGTCAATTATTTCGATTTATTGCCATAAGGTTTTTTTTCTTTAAAAAATCAAGTTACCTTGATCTTCTTTGGCTTTACTTTATGTTCTTTGTGATTTGTTGCCCTTATTATCACATCTTGGCCATCTCAAAATGAAATCTATTAGGAATGAATGACATCATTCAAAAACATATTTTGTTTGAGCATTTTTTATCTTTCTTAAAGCAAGTATTTAAATATAACGATGGTTGCAGGATTCTTGCCTTTACAATTAACCATACTAACGGTATGGGGGATAGGACCATAAAAAGGCTATGTCCCATGAATCTCAACAACCGAGCACATGAATCAACCGGCCGAGACAAACGCTGTATCCATTAACAACCCCGAAATTACAATTATCTTCCGGAAGCAGAAATGCGGCAGCCAAAAATAATGAAATAAACTGATTTTTAAAGAAAGTTTGTTTGATTGATGGATTGATTGTAACATAAATAAACATTTTTATAACATTTAATATGATTTGTTACTTTCTTTGTAGAATGTTGTCGACTGAATTACGTTTTTCGATACATTCTGTACGGGTGTATGAGAAAGTTAGACGAGCACGATGTTTACATGTACAAGGCTGGGTATATATTTATATATAGCTTGTGCGCTCCTGTGTTATTTAGAGAAAAAGTAATTTGCCATGATTTTTTCAGCTTCACGTGTCATGATCATTTATTAGTTTAAACATTGCCCTGCAGGATCCAAAAATGTATCACCAGCACCATAATTGTATTCCATAATCTACACTTAATGTGTTGGAAAAGACTTGAAAAATATTATGGCAAAACTAAAATAAAGAAGTACTGTCTTAAGTTTACAGATGACACACTGTCACGGTACCTGCTGTTGTAATCAAAAGGGAAGATTCGCTTAGAGCAATGAAAGCCAGAATCTCTTATTGAGTCTGTTGAAAGGTATATCATCTCCCGAACATTAAACGATACTTTCGTCTTCTTATTTTTATTCTGTTTTTACAATGTAAACAAATATGCAAAGAATTATATATCTGGTCAAACTGTATTATATTATTTTATAAACAGGTGACATTTAACGACATGGACTATAATGGACAAGTTATTGTTAATTTGGAAACATTGACGAGAAGAATCTCATGTAAACAACTGAACATTTCTGCACAAGGTAGATTAAAAAATATTTCTGTTTCAACAAGACACCGTGTTTGTGGATTTTCCTGTGAAATGGACTATTTTATATATGTTAAATGAAATCACATGCATGTTTACTTATCTTACTATTTGTTTCTCTTCATTTCCTAAATGTGACATTTCCTGCTTATAATTACTATCTGTGCAGGAATAAAAGTTAAACAAGAGCCACCGCTAGCGGGTACCATGTTTGACTTTTGTTTCTCCTTATCGCAGATCAGGATATACAATGGTGTCATTCAAAATCCGGCACTGATCTTCCTTTCAAAGCATACAACACAAAGTATTTGTCAAAACAATGTAAAAGGGAGAACAATTCTTTGCAAACTCTATATTGTTTCATCTCATTTCTTTAAAAATGCAAATGTTGCGTGAATGTTACCCGCAAAATAAGTGTCCACATGGAAATTCCCATTGCATTTTAAACCTATAAGCACAGGGGTGAAACATAAAGTATAGGCGACAACAGTTATTTATTCCGCGTAGGCTGCAACAGGTCTCGTATGTAAGAAAAAAGGTATATGATAAAGAATTACCTAAAAAACACATGTGAAGCGAGGTGTTTAGGCCGCCATGTTGTCAGTACGCGTTACCATTAAAGTCGCGTGATTCCGTACCGCGTGAAGAGAACGACTTAAAGGACAATAAACTCTTGTACTTTAACATGTATTTTCAACAATGAAATTGATCGATTTATGTAATACAGTATATAAATGTTCTTTAAATTATTGTAATTATTATGTTAAGTCGTACTTCAGAATCGATACCGTTGTAATAAATTAATGTACATTATTTTCTTAAATGTATTTAAGGCATGTCCCTATAATGTTTTATGATTTATTTACAGATTGGGCTTTGGAAAACACATCGAAACCACTGGGAGAAGTTCTTGTTTTTTTCTGTTTACTGTCCATGATTGCGTCCACGTTGATTATAACATTGACTGTGTATCTTTGTTGGGTAAGATGTAAAGATTATTTGACTTTCAACAATCAGTTAAACTTTAAGTGAAAATCAATGTCATTTTTCAAAAAAAAAAAATAAATAAATAAATAAATAAAAAAAAACAACAACAACAAAATAACAAATAAAAAAAACAAAAACATATAATTATAACAATGCATTATTTCTGTCTATCTCGTGTTCTATTACATATAATATATTCATACTCAAATGACAACTTACTTGGTCTTGTAGTGGCGGATGGTCTCAGGTGCCCCTTGTGCATTGTTTAAGTGGGCAAAGTAGGCAACCGAGCTAGAAACGACCAACCTTAGGGAAAAAAAAAT